GATAATGGCAGCTTTAGAGAACAGCATGGCTTTGAGATATTTTTGAAGGTGTACAAAAAATATTCATGGGTTCAGGGTTTGTGGGAAATGGTGCAACCAGTTAGAGAAGGAACACAGTGAGACCCAATGCTGTGGTGGCCTAAACATGCTTCATTGGTGACTGGGAGGGAGGGATTAGCTGGCACAGGCTCCTCTGCCTGACTGAAGAATATGTAGCTTTTAAAAATATACATATTTTACTTATTGTTTTTATTTTATGTGTATGAGCGTATTGCCTTCATGTGTGTAAGTGCACCCATGTCATGCAATGCCCGTGGAGGTCAGAAGAGGGTGGTAGATCCCTAGAACTGGAGTTACAGATGGTCGTTAGCAGCCATGTGGGTGCTGGGTATTGAACATGGCCCTCTGCAAAAGTAACCAGTGCTCTTAACCACTGAGCCATCTTTCCATCCCTGAGAATATGTAGCTCTTAATGGGAAAGGTTTTCCCACAATGGTGGAGATTGATCCAAGCCACTGGCCAGGGTTTATCTAGTGTTATGGTTAACCTTGATAGTTGACTTGTTGGGATTTGGACTCAGAAAACACGCCCCTGGGCATATCTATACAGAGAGAATTAACAGGCAGGATGACCTGCCCTCAGAGTGGGTAGCATCTTTCAATAGATATACAGATATACAGAGGTCTGGGGAGAACAGCCTGCCTACCTTCCCTTCTTCCTGAGTGTGTTGAGTGCTGCTGTTGTTATAATAATAGTAGTAGTAATAAGAATAATGCTGCCACCATCTTCCACTGACAGACTTTTGTAACATGGACTGATGGAGTTTTCTATGCCTTCAGCACTAAATTGTTACCGCTGAGGCATCCGGCTTCATGGCTGAGTAACTACTGGCTTCTCAGCCTCTTCAGTGTACAAAGAACCATTGTTAGACTACTCAGCCCCTAATAAATCCCATTTTATAATATATATATATATATATGTATACATACACATTCAATGGATTCTATTCTTCTAGAGAATTCTGCCTGATGCGTCTGGTTACTAGAATGGTGGCACTTTAGGGGTCTGGACAGACAGAGTGGATTCAAACCTGACCCTGGTTTTCTTTGTGAGTAGAGGAAATGCATCTCTGCCCAGGGCTGGGGCCAGCATTCTGCAACCCTGAGCCCTTTCAGGAGCTTTCATTTGGAAATGGGTTCTTTCTCTCTCTCTCTCTCTCTCTCTCTCTCTCTCTCTCTCCCCCCCCCCCTCCCCCGCTTCTCTCAGAAGGGAAGCCACACACTTGCTTGTCCTGGATGCTCTCTCAAGGAAAGACAAAGCCATTACTGAAAAGTTACCGTCCTAGTTTGTCTCTTCATTGCTGTGACAAAATACTCTGACCACTACCAACTTGGGGAGGAAGGGATTTATTTGTCTTACATCTCCCAGGTCACAGTTCATCCGGGAGCCCAAGGTAGGAACTCAAGGCAGGAACCTGGAGGCAGGAGCTGGAGCACAGGCCATGGAGGAACGCTGCTTACTGGCTTGCTCCCCTGGCCCCTGCTCAGCCTGCTTTCTTATGCAACACAGGCCCACCTGGCCTAGGGGTGGCACCACCCACAGTGGGCTGGGCCCTCCCACAGCACTCAACAATTGAGAAAAGTGCCGCATGGACATGGCCACAGGCCAGTCCAATGAAGGAAATTCCCCAATTGAGGCTCCCTCAACCCAGGTGTGTCAAGTTGACACTAAAGCTATCCAGCACAGTTACTGTCTGTAAATTCTTGATTGTTTAGATTCCTACCATGGCACCATCTCTGGGCACAGTTAGTGACTTCCATCAGGGAGTCACCAGTGGGTGGACTTGCTTCCCTGGCACAGCTTTGCCCTTGAGAGATAGTGGAGGGTTTTTTTGGGGGGTTCTTTTTCACTTTTTCTTTTATTTGAGACAAAGTCTCATGCAGCCCAGCTGGTCACCACTCTTTTTTTTTTTTAATAGTTTATTTATTATCTTTATTACCACTCTTTTTAAAAAATATTATTATCATTATCATTATTATTATTATTATTATTATTATTGACTTTTTGAGACAGGGTCTCCCTGTAGCCCCAGCTGGCCTGGAACTTACTATGTAGACCAGGCTGGCCTTAAACTCACAGAGATCTGCCTGACTCTGCCTCCCAAGGGCTGGGATTAAAGGTGTGCATCACCATGCTGGGCCATATTTTATTATTTTTATTTATGTGTATTTGTGTGTGTCTGTGTGAGTGCCATGTGCATGAGGTACCTATGGAGGCCAGAGTTACAGGCAGTTGTGAGCTACCTGATATAGGTGCTAGGAACCAAACTCATGTCCTCTGGAAGGGCAGGAAGCATTTTTAACCATTGAGCCATCTCTCCAGCTGTTGACCTCCAACTCTTGATGTAGATGAGGCTGGTCTTGAACTACTGATCCTCTGGCTTCAGCATCCCAAATGCTGGGGTTACAGGTGAGTGTTCCCACACCCGGACAGTGGAGGTTTTGCTGTCATGAAGAGCAGCTGGTCACAGCTACTGTTCACCCTGTATTGGCCAATCAAATGCTGATGCTGGGAGGCAGGTGCAGGGACTGTGTGAAAGAATCTAGAGAGGACATGTGTGATATAGTACATAACCTTTCAATTCACCCTTGGATTCAATAGACTTAGCTACTGTCAGTTATTTTGAGGAATTACAATTCTCACACTGAAAGATTTGAAAGATTTTGTTTTTATTTTTAATTATATGTATATATATGTGGATATGGAGATTATATCTATATCTATATCTATATCTATATCTATATCTATCAATATATATATATCTATATCTGCAAGTGCCCTCGGACTGCAGAAAAGGGCATCCAATCCTTTGGAGCTGGAGTTGTAGGGAGTTGTGAGCCATCTGATATGGGTACTGGGAACTGAACTCAGGTCCTTTGCAAAAAAGCAGTACATGGCTCTTAACAGCTGAGTCATCACTGAAATTTTTTTTTCTGTTTTAGAAATTTAGAAATAAATGTTGTTGCCTTAATATCAGGGATTGCCCTTCCCTTGAAAAGTACTTGGGTTACCTAAACACAATTAAAAATTTTTATTACATTTATTTATTTAGCTAGTGGGGGGGTTGTGTGCTCTGGTGCATGTTATGGAGGTCAGAGGACAACTTGCAGGGGTCAGTTCTCTCCTTCCACCATGTGGGTCTTGGGACTTGAACTCAGGTCATCAGGCTTGGTAGCACATACCTTTATCTGATAAACCATCTCACCAGTCCTATTTTACTATAATTTTATTTCTGTATGTGTGTGTGTGTGTGTGTGTGTGTGAGTGAGTGTGTTTGTGCACATGAGTGCCATAGTACACGTGTGGAGGTCAGGGGACAACTTTCAGGAGTCAGTTCTCTTCTTCTACCACATGAACTCTAGGTATTGAACTCGGGCTGTCAAGCTTGGCTGCAAGTGCCTTTACCCCCCTCCCCCGAGCCATATCACCAGCCCCCCAATTTTTAAAGTGTGGGTGATGGTATCATGTGGGGGAGAGTGAAGAGCACGGAAGGTGCTAGGCAGAAAGAAGAGGCCTTAGGAACCAATTATAGGAAAGGGACTCCTGGGAGACAGGGAAGAAGGGTGATGACCCCCAAGTGTGAGGGCTGACTTTTCTTTGTCACTGCCACATAGATTCATGGAAACTTACCACACAGTGCTATGGCTGGGCTTGGATGCAACCTCATGGGCCCGGCAGCCCTTTATCCTTCATTATGGTGGGCATTATAGTCTATTGCCTCCTGCCCTTCCCAACTAGACCAGAATGTGCCCATTTTACTTGACCTAGGTTTTGAATTCAGCACACTGAACCTCCTTCTCTTTGACTCTTGATTTTGGTGGGCCCATTTTACTCTGCAGTCCTGGGACATCTTTTCTAGTCAGAGCCTCTACCTGGCCCAGGAAGTCTCAATGCAAAGTCCAGGCCAGCTCTCCTCTGCTGGCTCCCTCTCTCTCCTCTTCTCTCTAGCTGGCCCCATTATTTTGTTCACTGTATCTGGGTGAAACAAATTACTTCTGTTTCTTTCTTTTTACTAAAACCCACAAAGATATGGGGCATTTTTCTCATGTCACTTTTAATTACAGATGCATATTTTTCTACCCCTAATAATAATCTTCAAACTTGGCATTTAAACCTTAGGTATGGGGCTAAGGGTGTAGCTTAGTGGTAGAGCATTTGCCTAACATGCACACAAGGCCCTGAGTTTGATTCTCAGCACTGTAAAGCAAACAGCACTTGGGAGGTGGAGGCAGGAACATCATGAATTCTATGCCAGCCTCAGCTACATAGTGAGTTAGAGACCAGCCTGGACAACGTGAGACCTTGTTTCAATCAACCAACCAAACTAGCAAACAGACAATAGGGCTGGCTAGTTTATGGCCAGGATTCCTAATCTAACTAAAGAGTTCATATTTTTTGTTTACTGAACTTTGATTGTTTGGGGAGTCATAAGTTAGGAAAACTGAAAGTTATATTTTTACAATGGGACATGAAGACAATGCATTTGCATGAGAGAAGTCTTGTGTTTAAAAATTTAGTGTGTGTGTGTGTGTGTGTGTGTGTGTGTGTATGCACACAAGCTCTCTATGGAATGTGTGTGGAGGTCAGAAGACAACTTTTCCGAGTTGGTTCTCTCCTTCCATCATGTGGATCCTGGGGATTGAATTCAGGTTGTCAGGCTTGGTGGCAAGTGCCCCCGAACCATCTTGCTGGCCCTTGCATTTGTTTTTGTAGTGATTGGCACTCACTCTTAAAGAGACTTTGGAGAGATATGGGAGGATACGTAGGTTTAGGTGATTTCTTTCCTTTTTCTCTTTGCTTCTACACATTGTTTGGGTCATTATTAGATGAGAATCACATTACACACAAGAGCCGTGACTCTGAATTCTATAAAGAAAAGGGCCTGGAAACTGTAATTTTTGTTGATTTTATTTATCCAAGAGTTTTATTACAAAGGGGACTGACCTTATACAATTAGTTTGATGCAATCTTAGGAAAACATATGGAGTATGCTTTAGGAAAAAAAATGACACACATTTTAACCAGCCATCTCACGTGGCAATCATTTTCCATAGCTTTTGTCTTTTGGGGGGATGGGGAGGTGGGGTTGGATTATTTTTACATACCAATGATCAAATCTTGCTGACCTCCTTCTGTAACCAGCTGGGATTGGTAGGCCCAGCACCAAGCACCTGAGGTGCACCAGGGTCTCTTTCCAAAGCTGCGGTTGCCCCAGGCTGTTTGGCCATCAGTCCTCACAGCAGCATCCTTAGAAGTTGAGTCTGAGGTCTGAGCAGTGCACATGTATGAACCTCCCACAGTACAGTTCCACCCACAATAATAGCCTTTGTGGGGACACAGAAGGGGCTGAACTGCATCCCATGGGGGAAGGATTGTTTTCCTGTCTTCATCTATAGTCAGAGTCTTTGGGAGTGCACAGGATGATGGGGCTGGAGAACTTTCTACTCCAGGGGCCTACACGTCTAGGTCCTCATCCAGCAGCCCTCATGCTAACTCCTCATCCTTAGATACAGAAACCACTTTCAACTCAACAGTGTGAGCATCTAGAGAGGGTTTCTGCTCAGCAGTCCCAGCAGGTGCTGTCTTGGGTTCATCCTCAGCCACCCAGTCAAGTCGAGCCTAGACGGCGACACGGGCTGCTCCACTGAGCTAATGTTCTGTCTTCTCCCAGACAATGCATAAATTTGTCTACTCAGTAGTCAACAAAATGGGAGACAGGAATAGGTTTCTGATGTACAGCCCAAGTTGCTGTGTTTAAACCTCTTCACTCTGGTTCCCCTTGGAGCTTGGGGACAGCAATGACTGGTCCCCAAAGCCTCAGAAGGAAAGCGGGGAAGTGGTCCAGGCTGCATCTCCATCACTTTCTTTCTTTTGGAGCTTTTCCTTTCATGAGTCACCAGCTGGCTCCAAGGCTCCCTTCCCTACAGGCCAGGCGGTGGCCAGACAGAGACAAGGCCTGGCTGATATAGCAGGATGGTGGCAGGCAGAGGTGTGGGTACCAGCCAAGACACCCTAGGAAGAGCGTCCCTGCTGCTGTTTCTAGATTCATCCAGTGCAGTCAGCCCTGTATGATTCCAGGAGAGTGTGGGAAGCTGAGGCCCTGGGGGACGAACTGCTGAGACTGAGATGCTGGGCAGTACTTTCTGGGAAATGCCTAAGTTCCTATACACTGGGCAGCTTCACATCCAAGAGAGTCAGGACAAGGTGTGCAGAGACTGCCCCTGGATGGGCCGGAGGGAGGTGAAGGTGGGAATGAGTGGGGACAGTGGGAAAGGGGGTTCAGTTCTTAAGTCTTTTTTTCCTATGGAGCACCTCATTCTGAACTTGGAGAAGCTTCAGAGTCCCCATCCTCAGGGTCCTGCCCATGAGGGGACACAGGTTGACCCCCCTTCACTCGCTTCCACTTCATTCTTCGGTTCTGGAACCACACTTTGACCTGAAGAAGGAAGCGAAAGAGCTGGGTCACTCCAGAGCCGGGGTGACCCCTCACCATGTTGTTGTTTAAGCTATGTGGGTCCAACTCCAGGGACCTCAGTCTGCAACCTCACCTGTTACTCTCCATCTCCCAAGGACTCAGGGACGAAGGGAAGGGCACACCAGAGGTCTGCCTGTGTTGTGTCTCAAATGAAGTTGAGGCAGAAATGAGAAGTCTCCAAAAAAATCACTCTGCATTGGCCCCACCCTTTCACATACCCTGACTCTCTTCCTTGCCAACATGCCCCCAGTTCCCCAGCCTCTATTCTCCAAGGGCCTGAGAGCACAGCCCTTTGCAGTTTCCATAGCTCTGTTCAACACATTTTTCCATATCTGACCTTCCTATGACATAAGGTTAGGATGATGACCCCATCAAAGATGGAAACCCAGAGGTCACAGGGGTCAGGGTGTGGCAGAGGCAAGATTTGGATCTAAGCTTTCTGATTCAATACTCCAGCAGAACACTTTATCAACTGAAAGCTGCTGACAAATATTATTATTACGGCTGTTGTTTCATACAAAGGCAGAGTGTGGGAAAGATATAATGTTCCAAGGAAAAGCCTGAACCAAGTGACAGAGAACTTTTACTCAATGTGCCCCCAGAACCCAGCTGCATATCTGTGCCACCTAAGAAAACTCATTATTCTTACAAAATTGCTTCCTGGAATCTCCATTTTATCTTTTGATTTGTTTTTAAAGACAGGGTCTCAAGTAGCCCAGTATGTACCTGGCCTTGAACTCACTATGTACCTGAGGAAGACCTTGAACTTCTGATCCTTAGACCTCAGCCTCCTTAATACAGGCATGTGATACCATGTTCTGTTTGTGGTAAGGGCATCAAACCCAGTTCCTGCATGCTAGGCAAGTAATCTATCAACAGAGATATACATACAGCTCATCTTTTGTTTTGTTTTGTTTTGTTGGGACAGGTCTGGAACTTACTATTGTAGATCAGGCTGGCCTCTATCTCACAGAGATCTACCTGCCTCTGCCTCCTGAGTGCTGGGATTAAAGGTGTGTGCCACCACACCTGGTCCAAGCCCGTCTTTTGATTTCTTTTGAGGTAGTTCCTTAGGCTGGCCTCAACTCACTATGAAGCTCAAGATAGCCTTGAACTCCAAATACTCCTGCTTCTGACTCCTGGGATTACAGGTGGATGCTACCACACCCAGCCTTCAGAATCTACATTTTAAATAATTGCCTGTGTGAATCCTAGGCAAATGCCAATTCAAGTTTGATGGAAACAGGATCTCAGATGTTCCAACCCCTCTTCACATGAGAATCACCCTGGGGAACCTTTGAAAAATCTGGATGCCCCTAATTCCATCTCAGACCAATAGTCTCCACATGTGGAACTCAGATAATTCTCCCCAGAATGACTGGTTGTTCCGTATAGCCATGGTTGAGAACCACTGGATGGGGAGGGGAAAGGAAGGGGTCCAGGTAGGGGTGATGGGAAGGGAGGGGAACAGACTACAGTGAAGCACTGACAGGCACCTGGGCCCCACCTGCCGCTCAGAGAGGTCCAAGTTCACAGCGATCTCATATCTTCGGAGCCGGGTCAGGTAGTTATGGTGGGCAAACTCAGCCTCTAGCTCCCGAAGCTGCTCCTTGGTGAAGGCTGTCCTCTCCTTTCGGGCCTTGTTGCTGCCTTCTGGCTTTCCTCGGTTCTCCTGGTTGTCTGGGAAGAGAGTACCCAAGTGGGAGATGTGAGTGAGCAGAGGGGTCCAGTTCCCTACCATTAGTCCTACAGCAGCTGGGCAGCATTCCTGGTCTCTCTCATTTTTTATTTGTTTATTTATTCTTATTCTTTAGTTTTTGGTTTTAAAATTTTATTATTTTTATTTTATGTGTCTGAATATTTCACCTGTATGTATGTAAGTGCAGCATGTGCATTTAATGCCTGGGGAGGCCAGAAGAGGGCGTCAGATCCCCTGGAACTGGAGTTATGGACAGTCGTTAGCCACCACTTTATGGGAATCAAATCTGGTCCTCTGCAAGAGCAGCTAGTACACTTAACCGCTGAGCCATCTCTCCACCCGTTTTTATTTTTTTTTCTCTCCTTCCTTCCTTCCTTCCTTCCTTCCTTCCTTCCTTCCTTCCTTCTTTCTTTCTTCTTTTGAGATAAGGTCTCACTATGTAGCCCTGGCTGGTCTGGAACTCCTTAACTCCCTATGTAGACCAGATTAACCTTGAATTCACAGAGATCCGCCTTCCTCTGCCTCCCAAGTCCTGGGATTAAAGGCTTGTACCACCATGCCTGACCCTCTGTCTTGTTTTTAAAGCATGCTTCAAAAGAAGCTACTGCATCCCCTCATTCCTTCTAATGTCTTGCTCCTAAGACAGTTGAGAAACAGTTTTAGTCCCACCCTCAGCCACCACCCCTCCCCAACACAATTTTTTCATACCCAAAGCCTGTGAAGCTGCTGTTGACTGTTCAAGTCTCTGTCCCCAGCCTCCCTTTGGGGCATCAGTAGTTTGCAGCTTGGGAGTCCATGTGCTCTATCTAAGACAAATTCTCAAAGTTCCCAGGAGCTCAGAGGATGGAGTTGTAGCTGAAGGGCACCCCACAGCCTTGCCAGGGGCAGGGGTATTTTGGCACTCTGGCCCTGGTGCCCACGGTCTGGTAAGGGCAGTCAGCAGTGAGACGGGTAAGGGGAGAGCTGCTGGCGCCAGGACGTGCAGCATCAACCTCACCTGAAAACTTGTTTGAACTACAAATCACTGTTGGATCAGAAACTTGTGGGGGCAGAGTGGGAAGCTCGGCAACCTGTTTTTGTGTTTGTATGTGTATTGTATGTGTGTTTGTGTGTGTGCACGGAGGCTAGAGGTCAACATTGTGTGTCTTCCTTGTCACTGTCTACCTTAAGATGTAAAGAATATTTGTTTATTGTGTATGTGTGTATGTATGTAGACATGTGGAGGTCAAAGGACAGCTTTCAGGAATTGTTTCTCTCCTACTATGTGGTTGGAAGGATTGAACTCGGGTTGTTAGGCTTGGCAGCAAGTGCCCTTATGCATGGAGCCATCTCGTCAACCTCTCTACCTTAGCTTTTGAGGCAAGGTTCTCACTGAATCTCAAGCTGGCTGATTTGGTTGGACTGGCCAGCATGACCCAGGGATCCTCCTATGTCTACCTCCTCACAGGTTGAGGTCACAGGAGTATGCCAGCATATGTCCAGCTTTTTTCTTTTTTTTTTTTTTTTACATAGGTGTGGGAATTGAACCCAGATCCTCATGCTTATTGCTCAGCACCTCAGCAGCCTGTTTCAACAAGCCCTCCTGATCATTCTTCAGGGCCAAGTTCACAGATCACTACTTTAAGACCTGACTACTGAAAGATTCCCTGGGCCCCAGACTGGGGATCTACTGGCCTGATCTGCATCAGAAGACCAAGTCTGAAGAATCATCCAGACCTCTGGGGAATGAAGCTTCTGTTAGTTAGACACAGGAGCTGAGTCCTAACCTATAACAGGGTCAGGGAACATTTTCTATACCAGGCACTCTACTAAGCTCCTGACCTGTGTTCACTTCTTCCTCTTCACAATCACTCAATCAGATGGTTCCAGTATGGGACATATTTTAAAGACCAGAAAACCAAGAAAGAGGAGTTAAACAAGTTCCCCTAACCATTGAGTGGTGGAGGCAGTTTGACTCACATAGTGTGTAAATATGGGATACTTATCAAGAAAGAGTCTGGCACAGATGGAAGGGAATGGACCTAGGATAAAAAGGCCTGGTTATTGAAAGTGTCTGTCCTTTAGCAACAGCGGTGGGTCGAGAGGCCACAGACAGAAGACCAGCACAGCTACACAATTAATTAACTACATTAGTCACGAGGTCGGCCTAACTGCCACAGGGACCTTTCCTGAGTGGGCAATTGGATACTGTGGCTCAGGGCACGTGCTTTCTGTGAGCTGTGCCCTACCTTACTCCATCTCAAGAGAACCTGGCTGAGGGGGTGAGAGAGGAGGGACCAAGGTCCTGGGTTCTCGGAGGCCAGGTCTAAGCTACCTGGAGGGTGGTGGAGGGCTGCAGGCCTGATGAGTCAGGCAAGGGAAGCTGCCCACACTCTCTAGGCTGAAAAACTAATGTGGAGAGAGCTGGGAACCCCACATTAACCCTGAAATCCAGTTTGGAACTCTGGAACTCTGAGCCTGGCCGCTTCCCAGTTTTCTATGCAACTCATTTCTACTTCAGTGTCGTGCCCCCCCCCCCCCCCCCCCCCCCCCCGGGATGGTATGTTGGCCGGGGTGGGCACCTGACAGGGCAAGGGTGCCCTGGGGGCGCCAGAGCTCCTCGCAGCTAGATGCCTGGGACCCGGGTGTCGGGGCTTCCCCGCCCTGCGGCCCACCTCTGATGTGGTCCCAGATGGACGCCCCGGGCGCGGGTTGTCTGCCCGGCGGCTGCTGGCTCTTAGCCAGATGCTGGAGCGTGGGCTGCAGGGGAAGGACGCGCAGCCCCCGGACAGGTCCCTGAGGAATCCTCCGACCTTGGTGGCTGCCAGCATCGTGAACCCTCCTGGCTGCCGGCCCGGGAGCGTCGGTCATACAACGGATGCGAAGGCCTCCCCGAGCACATCCTGGCCTGTGAGGCCAGGAAACCCGGGAACCCTAAGGATCAGGGCATGGTCGCAGTCCTCTCAGCAACCCCCTCCCGTCTTAGGGACCCACAGTGTTTCCTGGTCACAGCTGTGCGGAGTGGATAGCCCAGGGTTTGCCTGACTCTCCCCATTGGAAACTGAGGTTACTCAACCTCTCTGGAATTCAGTCTTTTCACAAGAAATTGGATAAAATAAAGCACCTCCTTCCAAGTCTAATTTGTGTGTGTGTGTGTTGTTTTAACTTATTATTACTATTTTTTAATGTGTTTGAGTGCCTTGACTGAAAGTATGTAGGTGCACCACGTGTGCACAATGCCCATGGAGGCCAGAAGAATGTTGGAGTCCCTGGAACTGGAGTTATGGGGGTTGTTAGACTGCATGTAAGTGCTGAGAACAGAACCCGGTCCTCTGCAAGGCTGCCTGCCCTCTTACCTGTTGAGCCATCTCTCCAGCCCTGGAAATGCTTTTAAAGTACAGGGAAAATATCAAGATATCAAGTGTTCTAATGTTTCAACTTGATGAGATGCCCTTGAAAAATCTGGGGCAATATTAATAACAGCTGGTTTTAAAAACATTTCTTTTTCTTTTCTTTCTGTTCCTCTTTCTTTCCTTCTTTTCTCTCCCTCTCTCCTTCCCTCCTTCCCTCCCTCTCTCTCTTTCTTTCTTTCAGCAAAATATACTTAACATAGCCCAAACTTGTCTCAAACTAATGTTCCTCTCCCCTCTGCCACTCAGTGCTAGGATGACATGGGCCACCATGCCTGGCTAATGGCTGGCATATCCTGCCAACTTCTCTGCGGTCAGATGTGCCCACTTCCTTAGACTTCATCAAAACACCCCTGCCAGTGGCTACTCTGATCAACCCCTGATCATCCCCATTCTTTGGCATAGTTACATGGATTTGCCTGGATCCTCTGGTCAATGCTTTCTCTCCGGGCAGCAACTCTGGCACTGGGCACATAGGTGGTATTTGCTAAATCACCCCTGGGTAGAGGGAGGGAGCAGCTTCAGAGAGACTCTGGAGCTTGCCCAGCAGTGTTTAGGTGGCAGAAGGGAGATTTGAGTCCAGATCCACCTGATGAAAACCAAGGCGCTCAACCTTGATGTCAGTCTCCATCTTCGGCTTGGATGGCCCCAGTCAGGGACTGGAAATGGAACATAGCCTGCCTCCACTGTCAGGGTTCCTCAGGTCATCCCTTTGGAGTTGCCATCCACACCCACCCTCCTTCTTCCAGAAATGCCTGGGTGTGCACAGCTCTCCTATGGTATCCCACAGAACAAATCCCCATGTTCCCAAGTTCTGCCCACAATCTTCCCTAAACAGAAGAGCTGGGAGAGAGGGAGGGGACCTCTTTGCAGCTGGTCCCTTCTGTGGAGACAGATCCTCTCCTTAGTCCTTTTCCTCTCCTGGTTCCCATTGTCTTGATTTTAGAAACTTCAGTGCTACACTCCTCCTGTGCTCCATGATAAGGACACTTGTCTGTCACCAACTTCCCAGAGTGGGACAAATGTTTGTCTCTGTTACAAATGATGAGGTGGCCAGTATGAGAAAGAGCCAGGAAATGGAAGTGGACATTTGTTTTGCAACTGTATTTTTAAAAAACAGCCACATTTTCATCAAGACAAGAACAGAAAAACTGTGAGTACTTTCCTGCCAGTTCCGTCCTGGGGTGTCCAGTCTGCTGGCTCAGGTTAACAGTTCATGGACACACTATCTCATATGAGAGACTCACACTCCCACTATGGCACACTCCCTCACTTTCCTAGGCCTCAGTTTCCCCATGTGTAGAATTATAAAATTGGACCAGATTCTCTTTCCTGTGAGGCACTGATGTCAAAGTTCTTTTTGAAAATAGGAGCCCAATACCCTCCTTTTCCTCTACTCCTTTTTCTTTTGCAAACACCTGGGTCTGAAGGATGAGGCTCCTTTTGGCTTCCGACATCCTTGTTCTGGCACAGCCTTGAGTCAGATCTGAAGTCTAGCTCATTGCTTTGTCACAAAGCCCTTGCTTACCTTTCCTCTGCCCACAGCCTAAAGGCTAGAACATGCTGGGGAGTTTCTCCTCCTGTGTACAGAG